CCTGCCACTTGTATGGCATGATGTTGGGGGGGGAAATTTTCAGGGTCCTGCTTACCTCTCTGGGGAGAGTACCTGGTGTTACTACACATTTTCAGAAAGACTGTGAGTGCTTTAAAAAGTTTAAATATTTGAGACCTCTGTCAGATTGCTTCACAACTGCACAGATGTTTCCACATCTCTCTCTGTAGTCATCATTCCCTCCAGGACTGCAATAGTGTACCAGAAACCAGACCATAATATTGTCTATGGAAAGGATAGGATTAAGACAGGAGCACTAGTATGTTCAGCTGTTTGCTGTGTTGACAGGGTGAAGGTGGTCAAAACTGTTCTCCTGGCTTGTTTTTCCCATGTAGATGAAAGAAATCCTGTCTATATATAACATGGTTTATCATACAGAATCCTCTTCATGATGAAAAAAAGGATTTGGATTATCATGTTAAAATTTTCCATGGGTCAGATCTACAATTCTGTAAAAGCATTTTGCAGTCAAGACAATTAGAGCAGTGTGCCCCCAGGTTTTGCTTTTGTGTATTTTAAGCTCATCTCAGGGCAGACTCCTTCAACTGCAGAGCATGGTAAAAATATGATCAGAGAAGAGGCCAGTGTCATTATAATATCTAATAAAAAAGTATAGGAGCAGTGATGCTAGCTTTGAACGCTGCACATAGTCTTGAGTTATTGCATCCTGCACAGCTCTGAGAAGAATGTATCATTAATAATTTGTAGTAAAACATGGCTTCTAATTGAGTGAATTCTTTTTTTTCTGCCTAAAACAAATGGAAAAAAAATACATAATTAATCTCCTTGAAGCTCATGTTGTGTCAGAGATGGCTGTGCTTTTAGGAGGATATTCACTCCTCCAAAGTGTCAAAACATGTACTCCAGCATTTACGGAGGACGCTTAGTCAAAGACAGACTGCTTTCTCCTCTGATAGCCTGGTTAAGGGGAAAAGTATGTCTCCTAGGTTAGTGATGATATTTGTTATGCTGAATGGGTGCCATTAAGAACAGAACAGCAAGTAACTTACCACATCAATTATCTGCAGCAAAGAAAGCTGGAGCTCAACTACGATAGGTTGGGAATCATTCACTACCGGTCGTTCTAGACGATTGTAGTTTCTCAGCAGTTCTCTGTACAAGCGTCTCTGACTTTCACCTTGCTGAGAGACTAGAGGAAAAGAAAGAAGATGTCCATCATTCAGGCTGATCACACTGTCATCATTGTTTGCCTGTTTTGTTGAAAAATCCCATGTAATATGTTTGTAATTTGAAAGTCGTTCCCAAAAATATCCCCCAAATTCTGCAAAAAGATGTCACAGACACAGCTTTTTCAGGTGTGTGAATGATGAAGTCTTAAAAAAATAACTCCTAAGTCATTATCAACATTCAAAAACTACTAAAGAGAATCTGGGGCTCTGAGTACATATCTCCCTTCCCTAGAGTCCCTTCTGCTGATGGTCAGCGGAATTGTGGCTTTAAAAATGGCCAGACAGCTTCCTGGAAGTCACAGCACTTTTGTCTGCTTGTTCTTATTTCTTAGAGACTGGTTGCTGTAAGCCAGCACTGGTACTACTTGGACTTACTGTGTGTTTACCCGGCATCAGTAACAGCTATTCTTATTTCTCATAGCTGATATATCAGGCTTTTTTCTATGTGTGGGAAACAATACCAAACCCTCTTCAGTTTTGTGTGGCAGTCTTTCATGGCTTTGGGTTACTTCCCTTTGCTTTTTTTCTTCTGATGGCAGCACACTTTGTTAACACCTAATGAGGTGCTGGTATGAAGTCTACAGTCTTTGACAGCTATGCACAGTGATATTGAATTTCTGCTATTACATGCTTCCATTTCTGCTATTACTCAGCTTCCACTGGGAACAGACTCAACACACAAGCCAACAAGCAAACACCTGAGTATGTTAAAGACTAGTAGAATTTCAGTCTATGCTTAAAATCCAAGATGCTTCTGTTCCTCAGCTTTGGGGTGGATGTGGAAAGCATCCATCTAACTGCGTTACCAGGTTTCCTTGCCACAACAGGCATATATGGTGAAGGCCTGGGACTCTTCCTTTGGGAAAACAAGCAGTTTGCTGGGACACACTGCCCAGGACCCTGGTTCCCCAAAAACTGTGCAGGTGTTGGTGCTGTGGCCCAGTGGCAGACTGAGCTCTAAGAGCCGCACAAAGTGAGGGACAGAGACTGCAGGTTCTCTGAGGTCAAAGCAGTCCTGTCATCATGAGCACATATTCCATGAACCGTATAAATGCAATCTCTTACAGAGAATCTGCACTCTAAATTATTATTACTTTGGACTGAAGCATTTTTTTATCCATTGCAGCTCCCAGTCTCTGTGTGTGACTTTTTTTAAGCTCTTGAGCAGAACTCTGCACATTGAGACCAGGGCTCCTCTCACAGTGGTTATGATTAATATCTGTTTGACAATTGGTAAACAAAACATAACAACCTGTTCTGCCTTCCCCAGACTCTTACTGTGCTCAGCAAACCTTGTAAGCCTGAAACAAGCTGGTCTCCAACACAGCAGCTATGCCTTTTAAAGCTAATAATAAATTTAGTTTATAAACACTTCATAAGTCTGTTTAACTTGTGTTCTCTTCAGTTTTCCTTTTACTCAAGGGAGCTTTGTGGCTTTCCAGCATGGCACTGCCTGGTAAACAACGAAGAGGAACAATTTTGTTTACTTGGGTTAGTTACACCAACACATCAATTTAATGGGGCCTCTCTCTTCCTGCGTAATACACCCCATGGTCATGGGCATCCAGAGGAGCAGATGTCATAAGCACTGCTTCAATGCCCTTGCTGATGCATCAGTATTGGGTGCTAAGCTTCCATCAATGTCAAAGACAAGCTCTGGCCATAGTATTTCTCCTTCAGCACCTTAAATAATCTTTATTGATTACTTCAGCAGTGATCTAAATACTCTGTTATGGCCTTAGTGCTTTGCAGTCCAGGCCTGGACTCCATTACAATGAGAGCCTTCTGTGGAAAAGAAACCAGTGAAAATCAGCACACGTTGTTCTGCGGAAAGAGGCTCCATGTTTTGTGCAAATTTGCTGTTCTTTCACTCACCTACCCACCCACACCATCATTACCTCCCCACATTTCTGTGCTTTAGGGAAGAAATGACTTCCTGAACTATTGCTCTGATCTTGAGTACTTACATAATATTTGCCTTTAACCTTCCTTTTAAACTGGCTGCCTCATCTTTTACAAGGGAAAATTGCCCTTCACCATGCTGTGGAAGTCTGCAGGGCTGCTAGAGTGCCCTGGTACCATCGCTGTCATGCATTGAAGCAGCCCCCTAAGGGAGGTCTGACTTGGAAAAATCTGAGCATAACCCTTTGCTGTGTGCTTTGGAAAGCTGTCTTTGAATTGTGTGCTTCATCCATGCTGAAGCTTTCCCTGTTAAACTTCCTGAGCTAAAGTAGCCCAGAACTGCAATTTTGCATCTGGTTTCCCATCCTTTCTCCAACTCTCCCCTCTGTAATATGATCCCATTACTCTGCAATCTCTTGTATTCAAAATTGTTAATATAGTCTTGGTTGATCTATTATTATCCTGCTGAGTTGGCATTGGTGACCACATGTTTGTGTGCTGCATGGTTTACTTGCAAAATGACATAGATTCAGAAGCGATGAAGCCTTGGGGTGTCCTGGCAAATAGCCACAGCAGCTGTTGGTACCACAAAGACCTGCATAGTCTAATCACACTGCCATCTCTCTGCTATGACTGCTTTGGAGAGGGAACCGAGGTAGATGCTTAGTTTGACGTGTATGCTCATAGACTTTTTCTTTAAATTGCAATCTTCAAATACTTAATGTTTCATACTCCAGAGAGATTTCTGCTTTTTTCCTCTGTAATGTTTGTGCTAATGCATTGTGAAACTACATCTCTGTGTGCTAAATGGAGTGTTTGCTGGTGATAGGGGAGCCTGAATCTCTCGGGAGTAGTGGTAGAATAAGCTTTACCACTGACTACCCCTCAGTCACAGAAACTTAACCAAAAGCAGTAGCACTGTTTCATCTTTTAAACTAGGCTATAAGCTGGATGTCAATATTTAAGATTGTCAGGTCAGTCTCCCAAAAGCAGTGCCAGATTTACTTGCTTATGTATGTTACAGGAAAGTGAAAATAACTGGCAAAGGACATGATGCTTTCTAGATAAAAGATCTCTGAGCAACAGAGAGCTTCTGTGTCCCACTGCCTCAGACAGTGTCCCTCTTGTTTCTGAAGTATCTTTGAAACAGTAGGAAAACATACAATCTGATTAAAACTTGAGGGAAGAGGCGTGTATGATGTCTACCTCAGTTTAGCAAGATTTTTGATCTGAGACAATCCTTATAGACATTTGTCTATGCCTTACAGACTAGATAAGTGAACAGTGAGATGGATGGAAAAGTGGCTGAACTGTCAGGCTCAGAGGGTTGTAGTCAGCAGCACAAAGTACAGCTGAAGGCCAAGCAGTGGTAGAGAACTCCAGGGGTGAATACCGCTGCAAATGCTATTTAACACCATTAGTAATGGACAGAGTGAACCCTCAGCAAGTTTTGAGATGATACGAAACTGGGAGGAGTGGCTGATACAGCACATGGTTTTGATACCACTCATAAGGACCTCATAAGGTCCATAAGGACCACCATAAGCACTTACAAAATGGAGAAATGGCTGACAGGAACTTCATGAAGTTCAATGAAAGTGTAAAGTCCCGCACCAGAGGAGGAGCAGCCCCGGGTACTAGAATAAGTTGTGGGTTCCCTGGCTAGAAAGCAGGTTAGCAGAAAAGCCCTGAGGAACCTTATATATACACCAAGCTGACCACAAGCCAGCAATGCACCCTCGTAGCAAAAGTCACCAGTATCCTGAGTTGAGAGAGGAGAAGCCTCACAAGTAGGACAAGAGAGGTGATCCTTCCTCTCTGCTCTGCACTGGTGAGACACACCTGGCGGTGCTAGAGTTACTATGCGAGATGGTCCCTGAAGCTTTGCTCTGTAAACAATGTGAAACTGCTTCTGGAGTTTACAGGCAATTGGGAGGCACAAAGCACCAAATTCCCTGATGGTTTTGCGAAGAGCTCTACAGAAAACAGTTATTTATGGACTACATAAAACTTTTAAATATCTCTCAATTTCCTCATGTGCTTCTGCATGTGCAAAGAAGTCTGCAAAGAGCCCACTGATTGACTAACACAACCTATAAACTGATAAGAATCCTTTTGGAATTCATGTTTCAGTTGCATTTCTTCTTTCTTTCTAGGAGGCAATTGCAGAGAATTGCACAGCAAAGGAACATGCAGCTAGGTGTGGCTGGAGTATCCATATGGCATGTCCAGGAAGGACAGATGGTCTCTCCATCCCTGTGCTGTCATGTCTGGTCTTGGCTGGTCAATCCTACTGCTCTGCTTTGCATGCCAAGGTCACTAAGCTATAAGGCAAAAGTCCAGTCCTTCCAGTTTCCCAGGTTTGTTTCACAATGGTCAGCTCCTTGACTCAGCATCCCTGGTGTGGGGCACATTCTGGATTGTTGTGCACAGTAAAAAGAAAATAATGAATTATTAACAAGAGGATAAGTGGAAGAACATGTATTTCCACTAGGTTTTCAGCTATGGCACCTGTATTTATTGACCATTCCTCCTCTGTTTCAGTGTTCACTGGCTTTATTTTCATAATCTTGAAATATTCAGGGCAGAGGGGTGGTGGGGTGGTGAGGGGTGACGGGGGTGGCAGGTGTTTTCTACCTGCTGTTCATTTCTTTTGGCAGAGACCTGAACCTTACACACAAGTTATTACTTTATTTCATACAAAATTACTGGTATCTAAAGGACCATGTTTTCAGACAAAATTTTTTCCACATCACTTTATAGCAATACATATTCATGCTAATATGTCTCTGAATTAGAAAACATCTTTTTGGCTTTTTCTTCCTTCTCAAAAACAGTTCCTAGAATCATTTGCATATACATTTTTGCAGAACATAGTAAGTTACAATCAACAGCATATTCCTGGACTGTCACATTGTTGTTTTTAAATATTTTGTCTCCTAATTCTGCATAAAAGGTCCTAAACAGTTGTGACATTCATTCACTCCCCTTCTACCTTCTGCAGGTATTTCACCACATCTATGGTACTTTTTTCTCTCTGTATTGTTACTTTGTAACA